ATTTGAAGAGACATTGTCGATGTTTAATTCCTACTGATCGATTAAATAGTTTACGAAATTTTGCCAACCTTTCAATACGATGATTAATTTAGAAGGTAGGTAAACTCATAGCTAATGTTGAATACAATTCTTGACGATAGGTAATTACTGGATAGAGGTGAGAAAAGGTAAGGACGAAAATATCAAATGTTCTCTAATAGAGTAATAAAATTATTAAATATAAGTGATATATTTTTCGCTAACCTAAGATTATTTAGCAATCAAAAGTTATTCATTCGATAATTTATAAAATCAATAAATACACGAAATTGAAAATGAAATACACCATAAGTAAATATAATTAAGGTATGGAAATAGTATTAGCTTAGTCTACTTTTACGACACACACATCTAGTCCATTGTTTAGTAAATACTAGATGAGATGACCGATGACCAGAGGAGAAGTGTACACTAATCAAATAGTACCACCTAGCTATGCTACCTATATCATCTATGCTAATTCTTCTCTTTTGATGACCTTCATTTACATCTTCAATTGCTTTTTCATTCTTTGTTGCATCTTATCATATTGTCACAAATATGTTGCCGACAGATTAATGGATTGATTTGATGATTAAATTAAATTAATTTGAAGTTTATAAATTAACAAAATTTAAAAGGTACCAAAAATGGCAGCATTATGATATTGTATTAGCTTCTATTCTGTTACATCATTATCCTACATGTCTTATTGTTTCATTTAATCATTTCCGTTTTTATTCAATAATTTTATTATTCTAAACTTTTAATCTATTTCGATTATTAATTTCTTCGTATCAAAATGCAAAAATATGAAACATTGTTAGTGTTGAGTTAATAAATTCTCGATTTATTTTGATTAAATTACTTTAAAAAAAAATCTTAAAAACCAAATTTATTTATACAATTCAATTATTTTTTTTTCTCATTTTGTTTGTATTTTTTTTCCCTTTATTCAATAATTTTTTCAAATTGAATAAATTGATAAGTCAATATGGTGATATGATATAAAATTATCAAAGTTTATTGAAAC